GTTGTTTCTGTTTTGTTCGTGCTTTTTTATTTCCAGCTCATACGAAAATCGCTCTAACGAATTCCCGAAAAGAGTACTCATGCACAAAGAGTGAAATTGTGAAGAATTTTGTTCACAAACCAGGCGTGGTGGTGAAATTTGCTCGTCTGATTTTAATATGCATAATGGGCAGTTGTGTCAATGGGAGCTCGATGTTCTGTTGTTGGATGTTCTAAAGAACCCTCTATTTATTGCCGCTTATAGTAGACTGCAACTGTTTATATATTTTAGGAGTCTTTATCACACGTTTGGTTCTCCGTTTGCAGACAGTCCTTGTAGACCGCATGAAATAGGTAGGATCTAGGGTTTAACTGTTTATATGCAAATCAAATAAAAACAATTGCATGGTAAAAAATAGGTTTATAAAGCTTTACGTATGCAACTACAGTTTTCGAGAAAGGTTGTCAGAAAAAATGTGCACGCGACAATCCCGAAAGGTAACATGATCAATACACTGTTCCTGACACGGTAGCCGTCGAACCTACTTTTGTGGCTTTCCTTTAGCACTCGCAAACATATATCCTTAGTCTGTCGTGCCATTTTTTCAAATTTCTTTGAACAACAGTGAACTCAAACCCACCCACAATACCTTTCGGGATTGTCGCAATACCTTTCGGGATTGTCGAAGTAGCGGTATATATACAGTATCATTCGGTAAACTATGCCCCAGACTCGAGCACTGACAGAGAATCTCTTACACCATAAAACTTTAATCTTAGAACAGAAGAAAGTAAATTCTTAGGTTTGTGTTTTACATTACTTTGTGTTGCATAAGGACGTAAGGGCCATTTATACCAGGAAAACTAGACGCGTCCTAAATAAGAAGCACACTGTCCCGTTTAAACGGAACATTTCGTCTAAATTAAGGCGCTTTAACACCTGTTCTTAGATAAGACGCGTCTTAGCTAAGTCGAGCCTTCTTTTAAACGAAATGTCCCGTTTAAACGGGACAGTTTGCGTCTTATTGAGGACGCGCCTAGTTTTCATCGTATAAATGATCCTGGTATCACAGTTAAGTACTTCGTAACAGTTTTGACATAGGTAGTTAGTTAACTTGTCAGCATTTCATTTAGATAATTGATTAATCGTTTTCATTATTAGCATGTCGAATGTTAAGCCCGTACATATACACGTCGTTCACACCTTTTTGTTTTCTTTCTCTACAGATTATCACGTACCATCAGAGTACCGGATAAACACGTTTATCAGAGATAAGGTAAAATCTTTTTCACCGGCCCAACAAACTAAACGTGATTCTGTGTGTGTTTGTAGTTGACGTCTCTAAAACTAAGTCGTTATAGCGTGGATTGTTTCTTTTTTTCTTTGTGTTTTTTGGAGCGTTTTCAGTTGGCGCCCAAAATTAAACCAAGTCTTCACAACGAGGATGATTTTCTTTTTTTTTTATCTATGTGTTTTGTGCTTGTGTTTGCAGTTGGCTCCTATAAAACTAAGTCGTTACAGTGAGGATTTGCTGTTTTATCTGTACTACACCAACGGAGGAGATATTCTTCAGTTAGCTGCTGCTGCTGAACTGTGAGTAATAATATGCACGGTGGTCAGTTTGCCTCACTGTTTAGAGTTTTGCTCATTAGCATACGAATTAACCGAAAACGTCATCGTATGTACAAACTAGATTTAAAAGTTGAAAGAGCTGGTTATTTTGAGGAGTTATTGTAATTTTCAGCTTTTTGCAGTCAATAACAAAGGAAATAGCTGCAATCAAAAACTGCAAAATTACTGGGTGGCAAAAACGCTAATGAGCTCATAGACTCTATAAACTTTCGATGTTTTGGAAGAGAATTAGTCCAAAACTATTCCGTATACTATCGGCCTCAAATTTCAGAGATAACTAGTATTATGAAAATGAATTAATTAAGTGGGCATACGCGTTCTGTGTAATATATTCTGGGATCGTTTGAGCAGACAGGCTTTAGTTATGACTGGTTTATGGTATCCGAAGGACCCAAGCGATCGTAGAAATCCTCAGTCCAGAAGCTAGTACCCATTTTCCTTGAAGTTTATGGATTGGCAGACAATTCTTAGATCCACTTTAAAATAGGGCAATTGCAGGATGGCGTCATTGTACTACAGCTACCGGAATCCTTCATTTTATTGTTTCTTTTTTTGTGGTTGTGTACAGATTATGGTTATTGCTTTTTAAACCTCAGCGTGGTTTGACAATTTTAATAAGAAAGCAAAAGCGAAATGAATTCTGGTAGTTGTAGTCAAATGTCATCCTGAAAATGGCCCATTGGTGTTAACACTAGTTACTATAATATAGCAACGTTAACCGTGTTCAGCCCGGAAGGGGGGGAGAGGGGGTGAGACTCCCATATGAACGGGGCAGGGATGCTCGTCGGAAGTAAAGGAGACCAATCTGGGCGTGGCCCAACCTTTTTTGATCCCTAAAAGCGATCATTTTAAAGTTTGATTACATGAATCGAGTTAATTTGTTTTCGATTGCAACCCTAAAAGAGACCTTTACGGCTAAATATAATGGTGTTTTGCCCAGAACACCCTAAGCGAGACCAAAATCTCAAATTTACACCCCTAAGCGAGACGACAAGCATCCCCGCCCTTTCATATTGGATCCCCCCCCCCCAGGTGTTCAGTGCCAAACTGACTGGCTGTGCTTTATAGATACGCTCGTGACTGGCGGTACCACAAAGACGAGAGACTATGGCTTACGCGAGCTCCGGGCGTAGAACCTCAACTGAAAACAAGCTCGTATGAACGTGGAACGTACTACTTCTTCGACTGTAGTTCGTGGAGAAAGGTGGCTAAGGAATTTCACTTGGAGTACGACAAGCTTGAAGACAAACCAACACTGCAACACGTGTCAGCGCAATAAATTTCATTCTACAACTGGTCAGATCGCGGTTTTTAGCGTCAACAGGAGATGGTACGGTTATGGCGCTAAAATGACATTGTTATGAGAATACAACGTAAAATAATTTTGGAAAAAAATTTGATTGTTAAGGTTTTTACTCTCTAGCGTGTACCAAGCTCTCAGTAACTCGAGACAGGTGAAATGAGAAGTGAGAGCGAATAAGAAATGTGGGGGAGGGGAGAGAGAGGAAGATACGGTGCCCTTGATTTCCCCTCTCCTCCTCCCCCCCCCCGCCCCTTTTTCTCCCGCCTACTTTTGTTTTCGCAGGTCTGGACTAACAGAGACCCTGGAACATGCTAGTTTCTTGGGGTCAATTTAATAAAATTTTTACAAGTGTAGTTTACAAGCGTAGCTATTGTTTTCAGACTCCAAAACAATGACTACACTTGTAAAAGTTTCATTTAATTGATCTTAGATTACTATAGGAGTGCACCTAAAGATTGTGTTGCGATTTCAGATGTGTGGGCTATCTAACACTTGAACCATGAATTACAGCCCACTACTACCGTATATTTTCCAGATCTGAGTCTGCTACTAAATTTACTTGCTTGACTTTTACTATTCAAAAATTTAATTCTCTGATATTTTTTTTGCACTGCAACGTCTTTCAAGTGTGAAGTTATACCCAGAGATGCATTTCGCGCCGTATCTTCCCTCTTTTTTTGGCGAGAACTACCGCTTTCTGTCCAGACATCTGTTGTACTCTTTTTGGTTTGAGGTGGAACTATCGCAATGCCATTGTACAGAAAACTGTCGTTCTCCAGGGTATGCGTTGGTCTCTCGTTCTTTTTTAACTTCTAACTTTTACTTCTCCATGTAACAATGGTCGTCTTAAATACACGGAATATTTGTAAAAAGCCATTCGAGATGTGATATAGCGAATACCATTAAAAAGAGTCTTTTAGCAATAGTAACGTGTGTGTAATCTTGTGTCCTGTCTGCTAAGGAGAAGTGTAATTCGGTAAGCTTTAATTGGCTCCTACTACGGTGAAGCGTCCTAGTTCGAACCGGGGGAGGCAGCAGCGCGATCGCGTGGTCGAGTGATCAGTGCGTCGGATTCACAATCTGGCGGTACTTGGTGCGAGTCCGGTTCAGATCACTAGCTGGATTTGTTTTTCTGCCGTCTCGAATAGGCTATTTCCGAGTTCCAAAGACACCCACTTCAGTTTCAACCTTTCTTGTGATAATGAGTTTTATTTGATAATGAGTTTCATTTTCATTTAATAAGTTTCATTTCATTAAAAGATCACTTTCATATCAATGGCTACGCACTTAGCCTCTCTTTCAAACAGAGGTTTTGGGCAACTCGGAAATGACCTACAGTGTATTCAAAAAGTAATCAGCCAGTAGCCTGCAAGCAGTCTCAATTGTGAAAAGAGGGCAACCGCGCGAAACGAGGGCGGCAGCCTCTCCGTCTCGCGCTTTCAGTCATGCTCATGGTCATTTTCGTGTCTCTTGTGTTTCGCTCAACGCACTAAGAAAACGACAGAAACTGCACTTAGCCTAACCAGCTAGGTACTTCTAGAACTTTCCTCTTCCAAGTGAGAGAGAGAGAGAGAGAGAGACAAAGGAGACTGACCGACTTTTTAACTTTGTGTGTTCTGAACGACGTACACACGTACTGGTTGCGAAACGTGTAATCGTTTAATATGCACAGCAAAGTGTCCATCACGTTTGATAACGCTTGAGTTCAGGATAGCTGGTCATTAGATAAGAGAAGTTCATTCCTTCCTTTTGTCCCCGGGTTGGTTAATCAGAAGGCGACACCTTCTTCACCCTGCCAACGCAAAACTTCCCTCACTCTTCTTCTCAGCTCGAGAAAACTTTGCGCCCCCATTTATGACCCGTTATATCTGTTGCACTTGCCCTGCATTTCACGTGTTTTGTTCTAAACTTTTGAACGAAATCTAGTATTTTATACCTTACTGGAGTTGTGCGAGAAAAAAAGGTTATCTAAGTAGCAAATCATCTGCAGCATCTGAAACAGGGCAATCCCAGTAACTTCTCGGATAAAGGAACTGGTGTCTAAACAACCTCTCATTCGGGTTCCAGTCCTAAATGCGTTACGGACTTGTGGTTGTGCTGTCAAAGTTACTCATGAGTTTACAGCCTTCTTTATGAATTTAGATGCAGTTTTAGGGAAGATTTTATGGAGAAAAGTTTAGAAGCAGTTGGAGGAATGAAAAGTTTAGCTGCTTCTTTCTCCTTGAGGGAGGAACGTTGTCAAGGTATGTCCTGTCAACCGGTTCGATAGTAGGAAAGTTTGAGACAGAGACGAAGGTCTACGTTGTGCTTGCCAACCTGGCAGTGTTTTTGTTCATCTTGATGTAAGCTTTGAAATATTAATAGACAAGCATCCGTAGGGTCACTTTGAGGGTTAGCGGGTTTCAGCCATAATTAGCGCGCAGGAGAAAGTTGTTAATTTCATCGCATCCTTCCCCTGACTTTTCTCCCCAGCGCGGCCATTAACTCGGTAGACTTGTACTCAAGACTGGATTTGGGACATGACCTAGTACGGTGGAATCTAAGCCAATATTGAGCTCAGTTACATTTTCAAATTTTCAGGGCCCATTTGCTCTCGTTACATACTGAAGGTTTAACTGTTGACTTCGTTTTGTTGGGTTTTAACTTGTGCAAGAAGCCGGTCTCCTGTTGAGCTTCGCATTGAGCATACTAGTATTTTATTTTCGCGAAGCAAACCGAGCTGCAATAGTTTGAAAACTTTGCATGCGCGTGATGGCTGCTGAAACAACTGGCGTTTGGTGCCGATTTTTGCAGTCAGAACTAATTGAGCGATGGTTTTATTCCGAAGCTTTCCGTCTTTGGTGAAAAGTTTTGAATTGAATAATAACAATTGTTATTGAAAAGAAAACAGCGTGAAAGTCGCTCCAAATCAACATTGATCCTTAACGTTAATTATGCATTTGTAATAAACCACAGACAGTGTGTTCTTGGGCAATATGCTGAGAACCTTATACGGTTATCATTGCAGCTTGATTTTATTTTCATATCTACTTCTAGGCATAACATCCGTACTCCATGGAAAAATAAAGCTGGATTCGTGTTAGGCGGACGAGAATCATGTCTCAATATCCTCGAAAAGACGGCTCGGCCTCCGGAAGAACTATTCCACATACAAGAATTGAGGACGAAAGACAGATAGAGGACATCTACGAATTTGGAGAAATTCTTGGTAAAGGAAGCTTTGGCGTTGTTAAGGAAGCCACCAACAGAGCAACGGGTCGTAGATGGGCCATCAAAGCCGTGAACAAGGAAAAAGTAAGAAATTGATATCGTTTAAACTTAACATCAAGTGCGGCGGGACTCAAGCTTGTTGAAAAGCAACCGTTGAGTTGAACGAGAAATTGTTTTTTTTTAAGTCGAAAATTCTGTAGAACAGTCTGTAGAACTTGCAAGACATTTAATATTAAAGCTGTCTGTCAAGTCCCCAATATCTTAATCATGGATTCATATCAAGGGTATTGTTTTTAAGCTCTTTAGGTAATGCTGTTTGGCACTTAGGTTTCCGCTATATGCGTCCTTTTCGTGAATTATAAAATGTGATATTTGTGCTGGTAAGGCTGACAAATTGAACTATGCCATATTTCTTAAGCCAAGTAACAAGTGATATATTAGTTAACCCAATTTTGATAATCACCTATTTTTCCAAGCTCAGCAGCTATTTTTAGTGTGAATGCATGTGGTATCACAGCTGAAAATTATTTTAGCTTTCACCTCTTTTAAACTTATAATTACACTTACGTCATCTAGTAATTTATCATCGTAGTTATCGAACCTAAAGAGAGGTCTTTATTGTTAACACTTGACTTCAACTGTGCAAGAATCTTTTCAATATGTTCTTTGTTTTGAACTTCCTACTGTGATTTTTCTTTACTCCTTGGCATGTCACTGATAAAAATTTGTTTTAGAAGGGAGTAGAAGTCTGTACCTTAGTCAAGACCAGTTTATAATGGTTAAAATGATTAATATTAATGGTGCATTGCCATAGAGACAGAACTGTTATTAATTTACTGTCTCTTTCTTTTGGCTCACATACTAGAAGCTTCCTGATTACTTGTAGTCAAGGTAGTATTCAGTAGATATCCATTGTAACTATTAAGAATTGTATTATATATATCGGGCATTGTTTCAGCGACTTAACAGTTCTAAAATTATCCATCTCTTTTCTGCAAGCTTCCAGTTTCCTTGTTGCTAAGGCAGTATTTGATAGACTGTCAAATTGTATTAGTAATGATTATAACGGATGGCATAAGGGAAAAAATGCCACATACCCCCTGTAGGCTAATCTCCATGTCCATTCTTAACCCTTTAAGCCCTAAGAGTGATCAGCATCAAATTTCTCCTTGTAATATCACAGCTTTATAAAACAGAGTGGTGATGAGAATTAAGGACATGATCACACAAGATGATTCTAACTGATACTTCACCAAATTCTCCCCACTACTTCTATTTGAAACGTACAGGGACAACAAATGAGAATTTGAATTTTGATGTCAGGGTTTAAAGGGTTAATAATGATATAAATATCAATATTGAAATTTTGATTTGTGGGATTTCTACTTAGGTCAAATAATATGCTGTTTGTTTTACTTGGGTGACAGTTCCTTACAAACGTTAAAATGTAATAAGGTGGTTAACATGGATGTTTTTTATGCCATTTGCACAAGACAAACATAGTCAACCCTCTATTCAGTGGTTACCCTCAGCAAGTAGTCAGGTGACTGCGTAATAGAGGTTAAACCTCTATCGTGACCATTATGAAGAGGCCTAACTTGCACTGTGGTCACCAACTGGCTCAGAGCCTTGTAGGCATCGTTCGTTGACTATTTGTGTTTTATCAGCCTGGGCATCCATTGTTTACTGTTGTGTCAAGATGTCACACCATTATCTAACTAAGTGACCTACAATAAGAGGCAAAATACAATAAAATAAGCCAGTCCACAGGGTAACTGCATATGCCTAATAGAAGTGACTGGTCAATAGTCGTCATTTTTACAGTTAATGTGGGAAGCACATTGTGGGAAATAGACCATTTTCAATATATTAAAATTCATACTCGGCTTCAATGCTTGGGGGAATAAAAAAAAGAAATGTATTTATTCATTATTGAGCCTCAAGATGATTTCTTTTCTGTTATTCTGCCAAGTCTCACAGCCAAGTATGAATTTTAATATATGGGAATTGGTCTCTTTTCTTCGGGTAAGGTAGTATGCAGAATTCATGTCCACAAAGAATCCTATGACAGGAGCTTTATCTGCAAAGAATTGATTACTTCCTTCAAACCTTTCATAGGCAACTTTCATAGTCCTTAGCAATAATTTTGTGATCAGCTTGCCAGATTCCCAGTATCAGCAAATCACTTTAGACAGAAGCTGTATTAAGCAGCAAACCATTGCCTTGTGAAAGATTGTTAAGTTATGTCAACTGTAAGTGTGAACATTTGATATCCTGTGAGGAAAGTTAAGTTAAATAATATCAGGTGTGGATCTACAACGGTTTCCGAACTCAGTCAGATTATTTATAATAAATATATTTTAATAAAAAAACTTTCCAAGTCGAAATATGGAAAATTTTTTGGATTTGTAAATGTTTTTTTTTCCTTTTGTTTCCCAATTCCGTGCATTAGTCAACCTAAGAAAGGGAATTTTAGGGAGTTAAAATGTAAAAAATTTCCCAGAAGAGCATGCCCACAGATCCCCCTAGAAGTTTGTGCTCATTTAGGAAATCAGTCAGTATTTTTTTATCCTTGATCTGTGCCTGAATATTGAACTTGATTTTGCTCATTCCTTTCTTAGGCTGGTACCTCTGCAGTTAGACTCTTAGAACGAGAAGTTTTAATTATGAAAAAGATTGACCATGAGCATTTAATTCATTTAGAAGAGATCTATGAAACATCAAAGGTGAGTAATCCTGTTGTGACTTTGTAAAAAAATCAAATAATATTTAATTGTCATGTTGAGAGTACAGTATGGCTAGTAGAGGAGGTACATTTTGGCCTGATCTGAAATAGCTTTGCATAAATGGGCTCCAAAGTTTGTTTGGAAATGCTGTGGTTGATTGCAAAAGTTATTTTGATGTTGCCACTCTTATTAAGAGTTTTGGGTGATTTTCATTTTTAGGCCATAGTAAAATGAAAAACCTTTGACATGGTACATTATTTTATTGTTATTTTTTGGCTCTAGCCCTAAAAAGAACAAAATCAGATTTTATAACTTGAGTCACCTCACATTGCCATTATATGGCTGTTAAGCCCATTCACAATCCATTCATCCAATGCCATCTGACATACTGTCAGAGTTATGTTCTGTTGGGATCAACCATTTCAACCAAAACCAGTTTTAACTTGGTTTTGCATGGAACACTTTTTCAACATGGTTCTGTCTGAGTATTGTTTAATCCCAGACTACTTTGATGCACATGCAAACAGTTCATTTACCGAAACAATGGTCCAAAGTGTAAATATCGATGCCTGCTAACAGAACAGCCAAGGTCTGAACTGGTTGAAAAAGTTAATTGATCAAGCTGATTGAAAAGTCCATTTGAATTACTGGATCTTAGAGTTAGGGGAAGTTAACAACTGCATTGCTTAGTGGAGGTGGGTGCCCGGGATGTCCAGGGGCTTTCACCTTTGGCACAGGCAGCCCCTAGACTGAGTTATGCCCCAATGGCTGGCAAAACCGCATCCTCCAGCCATGATCCCCCATGCCAATGGAACCAGGCAACTGTCACACTGATTTATCAGTGGAAAAATAAAGGAGGAGGGGAGGGATGAGGCTTAAAGAAAGTTCCAAACTAGGCTAAACGAAGAGAATGGCCACCAGGAAAACACTGTACTGAGCACATGAAGGTAATGCAAGCAAGGCTGACTGTGCTTGAGCTAAACCACTGACCACTGACCACCCACGCTCCTTGTTGTTTACTGTGTTAAAGAAATTTAACTTCATTAAATGGTACAAATGAAGCCACAAGACATCATACTCTGCTAATGTGTATGGTGTTCCATGCAGACTGTATTTTTTTAAAGTTTTAATTTATAGGCATACATTTGTTTACATTTTCAGCGTATGTATTTGGTAATGGAACTTTGTGATGCTGGTGGTGTGCAAAAGCTCTTAGAACAAAAGAAACAGTTTTCAGAAAAGGTTTGTATCCTTGACTAATTTTAACACTGAGGTTAGGTTGTTGTTCAATTTTATCCTTGTTTTGAAATTAGGAGCAATATTTTTTGCTTTCCAACTCATTATCAGTACCTTGCCATAACCCCCCAAAATAAAATAAAATAAAATTCACACCAAGGATAATCACTATTTCAAATCTGTTTTTTTTGTTAGGTTACCGGTAATTTGTTATGTTAAGTGTGGCTCTAGCTAACATTGTTCATAAAATTTCAACAGTTAAAAAGGAAGTTTGAAACCTTTTATTGTTTTAAATTTTATTATTAGCACTAGTTACATTTTCAAACTTCTTCATACTAATTTTCTAATGATATCACTGTTTAAATTTCAGGAAACTTGGACGGTGATAAAACAGTTGGCACATGCTGTGGCATACCTTCATGATTCTGGTAATTGTTGTTTACCAACTAGGTTCTTGGTCTTCATGTAATTTAGCATCACTCATCTTATGATTTAGCTTTATTCTTATGGCATAGATCATTTTATACCCCAAGTTGACAAAACCCCCAAGAAAAAGGAAATAATAGCACACTTACATGTACTTGTAACATCACAACAGTCACAACATTGAAAAAACTGTGTTGAATTCAGAGAGTGCATGCAACTTGTGTAAAAAAGGGAGTGTGTCCAAGTATACATCTAACTGTTGTTTGTTTAAAACATCTTTTAGATATAGTTCACAGAGATTTAAAATTGGAAAATATTCTTCTCAGTCAACCTGTTGGAAATGAACTGCTCAATATTAAGGTGAGGATATTAAAAAAATGTTACTGTTAGGCAATACATGCATCTCCTGAAATAGAGAAAAGCAAAAATGTATATGGTTGGATTTATTTTGATGTCTTATCAGTCTATCATGTAATCAGTTAGGCTAGTCAGTGTATATGACCTTGTTCACATGTTTTTGTGAAGTCACATTGTCATTTAGTACTACTTTAGTCCTGGACACCTAAGATAAGAACTATTATTTTTGAGCTTAGCATTGCTGAAGCGGAGCAAATGAAAATATGCCAATGTTGTTTAACCAGTTATAATTTTGGTCAATCCCTTGATCACATTACAGAGTTTGATGATGTCAATAAGAGCCGGTGGCGGGCGACATCCCCCTGCTATTTACATGAACTTGCCACCTACGTTTCTTTGGAACTTACCCCCAAAAGCCAAAATTTAATGATGTCTGTGTTCTGTTGAAACACTCTAATTTTTGCTGGAACCGAATGCTGGAAATGAGGCCCTGATTTTTCCAGTGGGCATGCCCCTGGACTCGCCCTGGTACTTCGTGCTTTCAGTGATAGTTGCAAGTTGCATCTGTTGCACGGGTTTTTTCCTTCTTCACCTACTTAAAGCCTTATTGAAAACTCAGCATTAGGCATATTTATTTTAGAAATGATCGAACAGAAAGGACTGGTGCTTGTGGAACTTGTTTCAGATCTGCATGTGCCATTGTTGCTGCTGTTGTGTTTTCTTTGTAAAACTGCCTCCTTGCTAAATAGCTCTCTTTACCTTATTTCTTTTCAGGGTGTGGTTTTAACCATTTAAGCCATCCACATACAAATTGTCCAGACTAAGCTCCGTAGTTTTCCTTAAAGTATTAGCTGAGAGAATATGATCATACAAGATTAATTTCCTTTTGCTGACCATCTTACCAGTTCTCATAACCTTTTCTGTCAGATTATGCAGTGATAATGTTATGAGAAAATTGATGTTGTTCACTCTTGGGACTTACTTGTACAGTTAAACACTTATCAAATGAACCAAGACCCCGACAGTTTGTTGGCTTTTTAGACAAAGGAGATTCAGATTCTAAGAATAATTATTTATTGATGTGATGTTGGCAACAACATGTTACTAAAAGTGTTTTAATTTGTTTGAACATCATTACTTTCTTGAGCAGCTGACAGATTTCGGCCTTTCATATGTGAGAGGTGGTGTTGGTAGTGACTCTATGATGCAAAGTGTTTGTGGCACTCCAATTTATATGGGTAGGCAATAAATTGTGTGAAATCCCTTTTCAGTGTTTCAGGATTTTCAACATTTCAGAAATTTGACAAAATTGACTGTTCTTCATTTATTGTATATACTCTTGTTTTCTATTTCTTCTTGTGTCACTTGAAAAAAAAATTGCTTAAAACCTGTTCCAATTTGGTTTTCTTTCTCTTTATACACACTGTCTCAGCATGTTTAGTCATAATGGTTTCAACCTGTTCAATTTGTTTATCCATGAATTCCCATAAATTTTTTTTGTGCACTTATATAAGATTGAAGGTAAAAGATAAGCAAGATAAGCAATAACTACCCCTTAGACTAATACTGGTTGCTGAGATTTGTTTTATCTAAGTATGTTACTTATCCTTTTTTCTTGTGTCATAGCTCCAGAGGTGATAGATGACCTCGGTTACAGTCAACAGTGTGATATTTGGAGTTTAGGTGTAATAATGTATACTCTGTAAGTTTGTTTGTCTGAGCTTCCAGATTTACACTATTTTTACAGTCAACTCTCTCTTAATGTACCATCTATTTGACAGATATGTCCCTCCCTGGATTATTTAGAGCTGTTTACATGGAGGGAGGAAGATCCTTAGCTATCACTAGGACGATCCTAGAAGGTGGATCATCCTAGTGCCACATGTTTTCTGAATTTGATTTTCATGCAAAGGGTTGTACTCTTTCCAAGTGCTAGGATCTTCCTAGTACTAGGTTCTTCCTCTCTGAGTCGAGTATTAGGACTACTGCAAGTATTAGGAAGATCCTAACATCATCCAAACTACCTTTATTAGGAAGATCCTAGTACTAGGGACAAATGGGACAAAAATGGCAGTGGGTTGTTCAGTGGCTAATCACAACAATGAAGGCCACCTTACCACAAGCTGATTATTGTGATAATTGCGCTGAAAGGTACTTAGAGAGCAGAAGGGCCCAAATTGCATTTTTGTTTTTGACACACACCATTTTTTAATTTCTTCTTAAGCCTTCTCTACTTGGGCATGACATGGACCATAATTTCTGCTTGTAGACCCAACATAAAGTTGTTCTGCCTTCTAGGATCATCTTAGTACTAGGATCGTCCTCCATGTAAACAGCCCCTTAGAGTTGTTCCCATCTGTTCCTTTGTAATAGTGCCTTTGCAGCTCAGGGTCATGAACCTGTCTTTTGCCAGAATTACGGGATACAACCCTAACAATACTGATACCAGAGGCTGAAAGAACAAAGAACAAAACAAATAGTGGGTCTGCCAATTTTTAGGTTTCATACTCTTCACAGTGCAATTTTATGGTGTTGATGATTTAAGTAACTAAGAAAATGTTATGTGCGTCAGTGGAAAATGTGCAGTCAAGCATTTTTTCCATACTAATCTTTTTAATTTTGCAGACATCCAACACCCCTTGAAATCTTAGTCTTTTGGTTAATCATCTCAAAATTGGCTTTCTAGCAAATTTGCTCTTGCTCTTTTCATCTCTTGTATTGTTTACATGTTAGTTGTATCCCATAATTTTCATGTGACTGCAAGCTGCAAAGGGCCTATTGTGCTTTTATCATCATCATCCTTTGGCTTTCCACACTCTGTACCAGTCTCACAGCTCTTGTAGTCCCTCATGGCAGATCCCAGACGGGGAATATTTAATATGGCAGACACTTCTTGAAGAATTATATTGGTGTCTTTCATTTAAGCAACCCTCCAAGTTGCGACCCTTTTGGTTGCCACGGCACCTAAAATTTTGGAGCTGGCATCTTGATTTGTAAAAAAGTCTCCCTAAACCAAAAGAGTTGGTGGCCAAAATGGCAACCAAGCTAAAACTTTAACTTGGAGGGTTGTTAAGTGATGGTGTAACAACATAATCTTTCAACATGCATTCATTTTGTAATTTGAGTGCAAATTCACCCAGTATGTAGTATTGTGTTTTAGTGATCAGTGGTTTTATAACTCACTTCTTGTCTTGTCCACAGTTTAACAGGGAGACCACCATTTGTGGCAGAAACTGAAGAAAAGCTCTATGAGTTAATTAAAAAGGGTGAAGTGGATTTTTCTGACCCTTGTTGGGAAAACATTCAAGAGTCTGGTAAGATTATTGTAGGCGTACAGTCATATGATAAACCAGAAGATTGAATTTCATTTGAAAACATGTCAAGACTGGTATTTCCTTGAATTCTTCAGTTGTTGAGTTTTGAATTGTTAAATTTACAGCTAAGAACTTTCTTCTTGGAATGCTCAAAGTTGATCCAGCATACAGGCGCACAGCAAAAGAAATCTTGAACCATCCCTGGATCACAGTAAGTACAGTAGTACTCAACTAATTTGTATTGCTCTTCATCTGTTTTTGTTTACGGTGGCTTATAGCATATCATAGTTGTCTTGTAGGTTTTCTCTCTTCTGATTCAAAGAAAACGTAGAGTGAGTGTCATCACTTGAGTCCTTAACACTCAACACTTGATTGGTTTGAAACAATCTTAAATGAATCAATACTCAACAAGAAACTTTGAATCCTATCGATAAAATCCTTTTAGAACTACTAAAAATAAATGTTCTATACTTTTTCAAGGACGTAAAATACGGAACTCCCTACAGATTGAAATCAAAGTGGCTTCAAGCTTTTATACGTTCAAATGCCTCATAAAAACATTTCTTACAAACAAGCAAAATAATTGAACAATGCCTTGTCTTTGCAAAACTTACTTATATAGTTGAGGCTGTATTTAAATGCATTACTCTGAGATTATCTATCTTATCTATGAACAGACCTTGATCATATTATAACCTTTATTATAGCTTCTTAACGATCTCGACTATTTTACCTGTAAGTACTTTACCATTTCCCATCAAACTATTTTAATTTTCTTTTGATGCTGTCTAAAATATCTACTAATTATGCTAAAACCATCTGGTATGCCTTTGTACCGTACTCCAAGACTATTTTTAGCCCAATTTTTTTTTTTGGTTATCCCAGTCAATACGTAACTGTGTGCCTAAAGGATAAGCAAGTTGCAGTTTAAACCAAGAACACCGTACTGCTGAGTACTAAAAGTATTTTTGTAACAGTTTTAACTGAATTTCCCTTACCAATGGCTTTGGTTAGTTTTAAAATGTCTTCTCTTGAATGCTTTTGCAGTGGACAGTAGATCAACGTAATAGATTAACTGTTTTCGTTTCAATTGGTCTATTTTCAGGGTGATTCCGAAGCCTCTGAAACGTCAAATGTTCTTGAATTAATGAAAATGTACAGAGAAGAACTCAGACAAGTAAGTATACTGCTCAACTTGACCATTATTATTGGTTTATATTATATTTTTGGTGTATTATTTGTCGGTTTTACGCAGTTTAAATTCAAGTGACCTCTGTTTGAAATTTTTATAACTCCTTGAGGATTGCTGCCCTTGCTAATGGTCTTTTAATAATCTATATTTTATCATTATATAACATTACGGAGCAAGAAGTGGCACAGTTAGTTAGTGCGCGGCCTTCAGTCTGCGAGGTCCCGAGTTTGATCCCTCGTAGCATCACGTCCTTGTCTCAACTTCTCTCCTTTTTGTGTAGCTTTGACAAGCTTTAAATACTCTTGAAACGGAGCATTGATGGAGAGAGGGGGGTAAAATGAGCGCACAGTCGACCTCCTGTTTATCACGCAGTTATTACTGTCACGAGTTATCGACGTAAAATATAGTTGCTTTAGTTACCTTTTACTTTTATTACAGGGGTCGGAAAATCAAGAACAGGAGGCCAATAATAATATCAGCGAAATGGAAGATGGCCTAGCCCCATCTCCAGGAGCTTCTTCTGACAGTCCTAAAGAGGTAGGGAACCTAAACAGACCAGTAGTGTTGAAAGGGGGAAGAGGGGTTTCCGTCCCTAAAGAAAGCGTAGTGCAGCTGCATCGGGAGATGGAGAGGAGGGGACGGGAGGGGGGAGGGGCGGCGGGAAAATAGAATTTGTTTGTGAATCATCATCATCATCTTTATTTAAAAACACGGTAAATACATCAGGCATTAACAATTTAATATAACGCTACAACTTAAATACGAAACTGTGTATACAGATTAATATTCTATAATTTAAAATATTGCTAACTATTAAGGAAAAGTAAACTAAATTAAAGCCTGTTTTACATGAATGCCGTGTCGGAATTAATTAAGAATCGTCGGAAATTAGTCAGAAATGTTGCTTGCCTAGCAGCTGAGGGTAGACTGTTCCAGAGGACTGCACCACTATAGGCAAAGCTATTTTTGTAATGGTTAGTACGCGGCAATGGTATTGCAAGCTTATTATCAGAATCGCGCAAATTGTAAGAAGTAATCACATCACTCCGTTGAATGAATTTCGAGGACAAATAATTCGGTGCGAGGCCGTTTAAGGACTTGTAGACCATCTCAGCCTTTAGTTTTTGACGTCGAGTTTCTAAATTGTCCCAGCCTAATTCTTTAAGCAGTTGGTTGGCGTCAGCATCATAACTAGAATGGGTAAGGACGCGGACAGCACGATTTTGAAGTCTCTGTAATTTGTCAGATAATGTTTTGGCACAGTTACCCCAAACAACACTACAATAGTCGAAGTGTGATTGGACTAACCCATGATAGATATTATGTAGAGTTGCAGGAGGAACACAGCGACTTATTCGTTTAATAGATCCAATACCAGAAGAGATTTTTTTAGATATAGCGTTGATATGATTACTCCATGTTAGATTTTCATCAATTAATACACCAAGAGACTTGGTAAAATCGACTCTGTTTAATTGTGTGCCATTAATTTCTAAGTCTGGGAGAACGGATAGACTATTCAATTTTTGTCTTGATCCGATTAACATAAATTCAGTTTTAGTCATATTGAGAGTCAATTTATTGGCAATGAGCCAATTGTTTATATTTAACAAGTCCTGATTTAAAGAAGCTTCAAGGGAGCAGATGTCATTGTCAGCATATGTTAGGTGAGTATCATCCGCGTACATTCTTGGTTGCGAGTTAGATAAACAATTAGGTAAGTCATTAATGTATAAGAGAAACAGCAAAGGCCCTAGTATTGTCCCCTGGGGAATCCCACAAGTTAAAGTGCAGCTTTTAGAAAGGACACCATTGACAGAACATTTTTGCGTACGATTTTCTAAGTAAGAAGAAAGCAATTTGTAGGCAATTCCTTTGACTCCATATAAACATAGTTTGGATAATAGAATAGAGTGATCGACTGTGTCAAATGCCTTTTTTAGATCTAAAAAGACAACAGCGTTAACATAGCCACGATCTATGTTAAAGGCCCAATTATCAGTGGCTTCGAGCAAAGCGGTTACAGTTGAGTGAAAGGATCGAAAACCAGACTGATATTTTGACAAAATATTATTTTCGGATAAATAGGAAGAAAGCTGATTATAAACTATTCTCTCGAAGACTTTTGCTATTGCTGAGATCACAGAAATTGGGCGATAATTGTTCATATCACTTCTATCGCCCTGCTTGAATATAGGCGTAACTTTGGCTAACTTCCAGTCATCAGGGAATGTGCCGGTAGTTAAACAGCAATTAAAAATAATCGAGATATATGGTGAAATAAGGTCAGCACATTCACGAATAAGCCGACTTGATAGTTTATCGAGACCAGCCCCTTTAGACTTATTTAGTTTATTCAGTAGTTTTAAAACCTGTCCACTATCAGTAGGGCGGAACTCGAATCTATTGTTAATGCCGTTGACATATTTCCGATGGCAGTGGTCATTGTTATTAGATAATGGGATGTCATTAGCAAGTTTAGGTCCTATTGATGAGAAATGATCATTGAAAGCATTCGACAAGTCGGATGGTTCAGATATAGAAGTACCATTTAGATTTATTTCTCTAATCGATAAATTAGCGGCTTTACGAGATGTAAGATCGTGGATGATTTGCCACGTTTTACGCGGGTCGCCATTAGTTTCAGTAAACTTATTGCTGTAAAATAATTCTTTAGCAGCTTTAATTTCAGTATTAACTTTGTTACGCATTCTTTTAAAATTGGCCCAATCGTGCGGATCATTCGACTTGATTGCTTTGATCTTTAATGTGTCACGATTATGCATGCGTTCTTTCAAATCAGCAGTAATCCACGGAGAATTTTTAGATCTAACGCGCTTAATTCGAATTGGAGCATGTTTGTCAACAATTTGTAAAAATTTGGTTTTCCACTCTGTCCACATTTGGTTGGGATCAAGAGCTGGAGCCAAAAATTCCCAGTTCTCATTGCAGATATCGTTACGAAATTTGGCACGATTGAAAGTTTTAAAGTTTCTGTACGTTATTGAAGTGTGACCCTTTGGGAAGTTAATGGAAAGTTTACGAAACGCATAAACAAGACTGTGATCACTAATACTGATATGGGCGACTCCAGAGCAGACTACCCTCTCAGGACAATTTGTATAAATTAAATCAATCAGAGTAGATGATTTATCTGTTATCCGAGTAGGCTCAGAAATGAGTTGGCGGAGGCCATAAATATCAGCAATGTTTATTAGCTGACGGACATTGTTGTCGTAATTGGTTGAGGCCATATCGGCATTCATATCACCAAGTAGGAAAAATTCAAGATTTGTTAGGTCAAGTCTCGCAATAAGATTTTCCAAATGTGAGAATAGCCCAATCGGAGAGTTAGGAGGCCTATACCAATTGACAACAATAAAAGGTTTAGAGTTCGGCTTGCGAATTTCGATACACAGGTTTTCAAGCTCGTCAACATTGAGATCAGTCCGCACGGAGAAATTTATTGTTGATTTAATATAAAAGCATATACCTCCGCCACCATCGCTAAGCCTATCTCTTCGAATTAATTCGTAGCCACAGATATAAAAATCAGCGTTATTATTAGACGCTCCTAGTTTAGTTTCCTGAATAGCAAGAACATCTAGGCACTTATCGGCAAGCAAAATTCTAATTTCATCAATATGCGTGGAGAGTTTGTTAACATTTAGTGAAGCTAACTTAAATCCTCGTTTTGAAGGAATGTGATTGTTAATAATGGATCTCTGCTGATCCAAAGTTGATTGAGTCGATATGCAATTATTGTAGCTATTGATATGAGATTCATAACAATCAAGACGATCGGCATTCGAGGAAACAGTTCAATGATGATTAGCTTCCTTGGCTGCTAAACATGATGCAAAGTTTTTATATAATAGTTCGTTACCTTGTTTGGTTAAATGTAAACCACCTCTGTTTAAGACTTTCTCCGTGATGTTGGAGTGGCGAACCAAAGACCATTGATGCTGCTTGGAATATTTAATGAGGAGCTTGTTAACAGATTTTACTGATTCTTTGTGGGCATCTTTGCGCGTAGTTAACTCAGATAATACAACCTCGGCTCCACAGGTAGATTGAATGGTTTTGGCAAGATCCACAATAGCGTTTGCAATATCATCTGGTGCCTTGGATTTTAAATCATTTGTCCCGATATGTAAACAAATCCTATCTGGAGCATTATCGATTGTTGGCTGGATATAAGACTTCATGTCTTGTGTCGTGGCTCCGCTAAAAGACTTCACTACAACTCGTTGGTTGGTTTCCTTACCTAACTTGTAGCCCTGGAGATTTTGGATAATCGAGTCTCCTAGAATTACCGTAGTTTTAGTACTTGTCAAACTCTCTGTGGGGATAGATGGAGTAGAAGTTGAAGTTGTGTCGTCAACAACATGGACATTTCCATTTCCATTCTCTTTAGGTAAAGAAATTGAATCGCTCGACTTGTAGTATAAATCTTTAGAAAGGAGTTTAACGACTAATTTTAGGGACTCTCGCTCTTCTACTAGCCCATTGCTGCGCTCTTTTTCTGCAATTAATTCTCGTCTTAGGCTATCGTTTTCTTGTCGAAGTTTGTTGATAACAGATTCTGAGGTGTCGACAATCGTCTGAGGAGTCGATAGGCAATTCAATAGCGACTTGATGGTTTTCAGCTCGTCTTTTAAGCTAGTTATTTGAATGTTAAAGTAAGAAGCATAAGGTCCTTCGAGTATAGAACTGTCCAAGTTGATAGTAGGTGGTTGATAGGTCATGGTGTTGTCATCATCATCGCCTTCTTCATCGCTGGAGCGGGAAGCTTCGACGTCATCTTGTTCTACAGATTCGGGTGTGACGCTGTCATTTGAGTTCACAGAGCAAGCCAAATTGACCAGGTCTGCTCTTAATTGGTTGGCATTTTCTTTCCCTTGTATCTGAAGTGTTTTAGCCTTGATGTAGAAGTTGAAAGTCATCCCTTTAACTTTCATTACCGAACACGTTCCGTTGTCTTTGACTTGGATATCACTACTTTCGACTTGCAACTGGGACGACAGAAAAGTTAATAAACTCTCCTTCGTACCCTGCCATTTTAGTTGGTCTTTTGAGGAAGTGTACGATAGAAGAGTAGAGGCCATTTAGCATTTAGAATTTGGTAAAATGCATGATACAGCTCTTTTAAACCCTGGGAACGAGGTTGCAGTAATAGCTATTTACGATAACATACCAAGTACTGTTCCTGAGTTGCTTGTCGTTCAACGAATAAATTATTTGAAAGTGTATATATTCAGTTTCGTGTCTTCATCAACTACGGGTATACGTGTATTACGAACTCACAAAGTAACCAGCTCTGAGTTGACTTTGTAGCTCAGTAATAGACCGCTGCACCGGTATCACGTAGGTTGTGGGTTCGAATCCCGTTCAAGCCAGAACGTTTTTCAGACTTTCTTTTCGCAACTGCTTTAGTTGCGTACATAACTGCGATGGTCTTTCTCGTGTCAAGAAACTTGTCTTTATCAAGTTAAGTTAAAAGGTTCGAAATAATGGTCACTGTTAAGGAATTCTCATATCCATCGTACTGAGCAATAGCTTCATTTCTTTGAAAGGCCTAGTATTAGCGATCATGAACAATAACTAATTATGAAAACCAGCTTTAAGATAGAATTGATGTCTATGTCAGCGATCTCCGTCCCACCCATAACTGGGGATGGATACGACTACAGAAGTGTCGTCTCTAAATGTTTGGTTCAGTCACTGAACCTTTATTTCCAGCCATGAAAGATTTTGTTTCGATGGTATGGAAACCAGCCTTTTTTGATATGACAAAGTGTGTGTATACACCAACGGGTTTGTATTTGCGTGCGCAATGTGACGAGTTTCAAAGATGTGGTTAGTGGAGGAAATGCAGGGCTTAGTTCAGTTTATAAAATTTCTAAGATAGTACGCGCGTTGTGATTGGTTAAAAACCTATGATTTATTGTGCCGGTAAACTCATAGAAAACTCCGTTTTACTTTAAGTTATTTTATCGAAGCCTTCTGCTTCGGCTCGTGATTTACATGCTTTTCTCGTGTTCTCCCAACATCCCGCGTGGGTTATCACGCCGGTAAACCCATAGAAATTGTGGTCTATTGCTTAAGCACGAAAGCCAAATAACGCTGAATAGTGAACGAATATTAAGAAACGGTCCAGATGATAACGATAGCACTGAACGACAACGAACATGTTCGAATGCAAAAAAGGTGCTAACTTTTCTATTGTCTGTACTTACTTCTGATTGGCTTAAACAGCAAAAGTTAACAAAACTTCATAAAAGCAGTACATATATTCATCCTTACTTTCCAACCGTCTTCCATATAACAAAATCTGGTCTCAGTTTGAATAACAAAGATATCCTATGTGGGGAACATGTAAAATTGTAAACTTTTCTTGGCTATTGTTTTCAACTCTTGTGATTGGTCAAAATCTTTTAAAAACACCCTTTCAAAGTGGTGTGTAAATGTATTTTATTGCGCAAACGGCCTTCATGAAGGTTTATGCATTCTCTGTGTAAAAATGAGAACATTCCTATGTGGGGAAAGCACTGTTGCCGCATAACAAAAGAAATTGCTATCCACCTTACCCGGATCATTACTTAATCGGATTTCTTTCTTACTTTGATATAGCATGAGCTGCGAGTTTAATGAGCGGCTTCAAACACGTTCCTGTAGTCTCCTGTTGTTACAATATTTTGTCGGAACAAGAATCTGTTTTTATTTTCCTCGGTAATTTTAAGTGAGTTTTTGAATTTATCTGCAGGATCTTGACAGGAAACCGAGTAACTCTAGTAACTCTGGAAAAGCTGGCTCCACTCCTAGGAAGTCCATTCCATCAAGTAACAGGAAATCGGTATGTATGATATCATTTCCATCTGTTTTTGTAACTAATGCCCCATTCACACAAACTAAACGTGTTCAAAGAGACACTACACAGAATAATGACCTTACGATGCCTCGGTATAGGCTGGCCACTGGCCAAAAGACTTTCACCTACCGTGGAGCAAAACTGTACAATAGTATAGCTAAAGATATAAGAGACAAACGTTTTTAAAACGAGAATTTTTAATATCTTTTTGATTCATGGATAGTTTTTTATTATTGAAATGTTAATAGTCTTTAAAATTAATGTTTTATTATTATCATTATTATTAAAAGAAATTCGTTATTTTATCATCGAAATGCAAATAGTTTTCTAGTTTATCTTATTTTATCTTATTTTATTCGTGTATGTATGGCGGAAGAGCCCCCAAGGGGGAGCTATGCAATAAAGTGTGTATGTTTATGTATGTAATTAAACCTTTAAAAAGACGAAAAACAGACACGGAAAACTGGGAACACAGGGTTTCACACAGGATTCAAATGAAATTGAACACGTTTTGTGATTTGCACTAAATTTGCAATCACTTAAAGTTAGTTAGCAGCTTTTATGAAGGAAAGAAAATTCAGACCGTGTTTAACTAAACAGCTTTTAAACATGTTTCAGCTTCGGTGTGAATGGGGCTTAAGTCATATCTCCTCCCATATCTTTGGCTTTCTTCGTCATATAAGCTCCCCGAGGTTCGAACTCAGTCTCCACTCCTGCAAGTGTGATAAAAATCATCACCAAGGAATTCACAGCACAAATGCTTTTTCGTCAACTTCGAAAATACAAATGCAAATGCAAATGTATGTGTACATGGTGTACAAGTACAATGTAGTAACTTGTGAGGACGCCTTTTAGACGCAAAACACGGCGCGAAACCCCAACACAAGAGCCTGCTCGCAGATTATTTATTTAACACGGCAATTTATCCAATTATGTTTCTAATCTGTTTATTGGCTCGTAGTCAAATCAGACCCCCTCTCGCCGAGGAAACACAACCAATCAAATGATGCCTTCATCACCCGGTGCCCGTGATGCCCACAGCCCATCCAGAGCACGTGACTCGCCATCCAGCAGTAATAGGTCGGTGCCAGGCTACATGCAACCAACAAAAAGCTCGGTAGCGTCAAAGGGGCCTGGAACCCCAAGAAGTAGGAAGGTATCGGACAAGAAAAGATGATGTAGGCGGAAATTCAATAGAGAATATTTTTTGTGATTCAGACAATAATTTTTTTACTTTACAATTTAAGAATTCATTGTATAAATGTTAAGAGCAGTTAGCCATTTTATTGGCTTCCAGTTGCGCTCTTTTTCACACTCCCAGATCCCAAGTTCAACGTCAACGGTCTCACAGCCGTACTTTATGTCAGCCTTCGACAATTTTAAGGTCGAATGACGGAGTGTTCTCTCTTGATAACGATGGTTAATTCCCTCAATGGCAGACACCTTACCTTGGGCGCCTGATTTGTTGTCTCCAATAGTTTCAGTCAGAAGTAGTGGCAGTTACTTGCAGTAATTTGTATTCATTTCTATGCGCAATTTTTCAGCAAGGTTTCTGCATCAAGGAGGGGGTTGGCCATAAAGGGTTTAGAATTTTTAGAGATCAGAAATTTAAGGTGTATGTTGGATGATATCGCAAGGGAATCAGACTTTGGAGATTTCTACAGTTTTTTCTGGTCCTGTAGAGATAATAATATTTCATTTTCTTTCACTGTGCTCCTTTCCTTTTCGATTTATTCAACCCTTTCAATCTCAAGAGTTTCCACAGTCATAACGATTTGCAAAAACAGTTCCAAAGTTTGTTTTGGAAAAAGCTAAGAAACGAATGATACCTTGTGATAGCACTCTCCAAGAGGTTTCCTTTGAATGGTTGCATCAAGGAAAGTAAAACCGTTCAACGATTGTGTCTCCATAGTTGACGGTTTGAGCTAAGGGTTAATAAATAGTGCTAAGGCTATGCGTATTCCTCAAATTCTGTGTAAATTGTTAGACTACAGTCCACACTTTGAAAGTAAACGTGGTAGTGGAAATATTATATATACGGTGGCGGGTCCAGACCTTCAGATAAGGTAGTCGTGTGGTCGGGCGCGCGCTAGGTGTGTGCGGTGGGGTGTAGGTGGGGTGGGGTCGGTGTGGTCGTGTGGGGTCGGGTTGGAGGTGGGTGAGGGGTGTATGGGGGTGCGAGTGCGGCGGTGGTCATCGCCTTCTTGCGGATAGACGTGTGGGTCGACGCGAGTAGTCGGGGCGGGGTGGGGGGGCCTGCCCCGGGCCCTTCACTCGGATCCGCCACTGTATAAGACCGACATCTCCCTAAAACGGACACTAAGAGTTAGCCCATGGCATTCTTCCGTATTTTCTTTCACATTCTATAGGCGGATAACTCCGTCTCTAAAAGGCGGACACTTGTTGCTGATTTCAACCGTCTCCGTCTTAGGGACAGATGACTGGTAGAACTGAATGCCTTTATCGCTTGTAGTGTAGTTCTTCGCTTTTGTTTGCTTACTCCCTTACCAGCTCATTCACCACTCTAGCCCTGACTGTTCCTTAGACTAGAGAGGACGATTGCAGGCTGGTTAGAGTAAAATACTTTGATGATCTTATCATCTTATCATTAGATGTTATTGAAGCACGTCTGGTACGCTGTATCAGTGAAATGATGGGTTCCACTTGTCCGAGTTCAATAGTCTAGTTTGTCACAATTGATGTTACACTCTAAATTTTAGCCGTTTGTTATGGTTAGTTCGTATTAGCATCGAATGAAAGGTATAACTTTTTAATTAGCCTTCTTCCCGTTTTCTCCAACGACTCACGTTTTGCAAGTCGCAAAGTGGAGTGGAGTGGAGTCTTGCTCGTTGTAAAGGCTGTAGAGCTTGCTTATAGGCTGGGGAACGTGAATTCGCATTCTTTCAGGCGTCTACTCATTTTAATCCGGCCTTGAAGTGGATTTTCGCCATTCTCGACCCCAGTGCTTACGGGTTGCACTGGGGTTGAGATTGGATTTTCACTGTTCCGTAAATTTTACGTGCTTACGCATGTAAATGAAATAGGTGCAATAAATGGAAGGTCACGCGCAAACGTTAAAGTTGAACCTCGCTCAACTTTCACTTTTACGCGTAACCTTTCATACATTGCCTCTATTTCATTTACGCACGTAAATTTTGCCTGCGTTCTCACGGAAAAGTTACGCGACAGTGGAGATCAACCCTGACATGGGTCTCAGAGAGTGATTGCCACCCAAGTGCGGATTTCTTGCGTTGAAGCTGCAGTTTGAGTGCGTCACTTGCAGCTCAGCTGTGATACCACTCGTGACAGGTTGGACATTTGAACTTGAACCAGTGTCGATTTAATTATATCTGCAATACGTATATATTTATAAATCATTGTTTTATTTTAAGAAGAGCTTCATAGGAGGTGGCTTGTTGAACTGTACAGGATATAAACTGATTTACAGGAGAGAATTCTGTAATTTATAGGGTTACTTTTTTGAAAGCCCATTTTTAATTCCTTTTGTTTTTCAATGTCAAATGCTTAAAATATTCCTGTGTGAGAAGTAATAAACTTCACCTATAAAGGTATCCACAGCGTTTTCGTTCTTTCTTCATGAATGTGACCTTTGTTTAATCAAGAAACATGCTTACAACGCTGTAGGGGAGCAGTATTTTGACAAGAATCTTGCCCATTCTCTTTCATGACCAGAAATCTTAAGCGACGGCGACAGCAACGAGAATCTCTCAAAGCAATACGGATTATAACCAGTCATACAGTCATCCGGGTGGGGACGGGACTATGCAAATCACATTGCATCGTGCTCGTCTGAGCTTCGCCCGCTCGCGATACCCACTAAACGGGGGTAAACAGAACTGAAAAAATTTCTCGAGAACAACCAAGAAAGTTGCGGTGGAGAGCGTTTTTCTTTTTCGCTGAGGGAAGGACTGAGGGTAGAAATTGCTTGCTATGGGGGAGACCTTTCGGACCTTCTCGTCTTAAGTCTCCAGATAGTCTCAATCAATTTTCCTGCCACTAGGTTCTCCGTATTTAAAAAGAGGACAAAGCAGCAACAAAACGTTGATGTTCAGACAGTGACATAAAAATCGCAATATTCTTTCAAAGTGCAAATAGAAGTTTATGTAAAGACGGAATTGAGGTGTAAACTTAATAAGATGTTCATTGTACGAAGGGAGCAATAACTGGTCACTCGGCCCAGGCGCCTTTCGCCCTTAGAAAATTTACCATTACAAATTAAACATTGCTCTGGCAAAACATTTCAAAGAGAATAATTGTTCCATTACCCTACGGTGGAGTTAAAAACTGTGGGAAAAGGCGGAGGGTGTGTACAACGGATTTAAAGTGACGGGGATGATCGAGTGGGGGCAAAAATCAAAACCTCAAAAAATCAGCGGGTGAAACACGCTCCATCACTTTGCGCATTACTCGTAACACTCCGTTATCTATATGGTGCAATGTAACCGTTGCAACATAGGTGAAATTAAGCGACGCCTCAAGGACAGATTTAACGAACACAGACGCCCAGTCGACAAAGCTGACATTAAATCTAAACCCACTACTGTTTCTGAACAACTCTTTCTCAATCTGACCATTCTCACTCTGTAAACCTGAAGAAGGCTGGTATGGCCAGCCGAAATATTGCTTTAAAAAAACTTAAGGTAATACACGTTATGATGAGCTTTGTAGTAGTCTTAGCTTGGACTTCCCGGTTTTTGTTTTAAATCAAGCCACCCAAAAATATACTTGCCAATTTTTCACACAAAATAAAATCCGGGAATCGAAAATTTCAACCCCCCAAAAATCCCTCGATCATCCCCGTCACTTGAAATCTGGAGTACCCCGCTCGGGAGCTCCGGATTCGGATGGACGCCTGGGGAAGAGAAGCAAAAATTTCCCATCATGCAACTTACGCATATTGATGCCGCTTACTTCAAGATGGCGGACAAGATGTTAACTTCTTAAATTTATGGTTCGAAACGAACAAGAAAACGGCATCATGATGGATTCAAAGGCGTGTCATTTTCTGCTTTTCATCTTATTAGCCTGTTTAATGGTAATTTCTGAGGTAAGAAAAGTTTTGCTTGGTTTTTGTCCATTATCCAAACGAAGGTGTTTCACGTTTGACCTACGGCCAGGCACAGTCAATGAAAACCCCCATACTGGCAATCCGCCGGGAAATAGCGCCTCTGATATAGTCTGTCTGATATAAATGCTTCTAACTTATTAAATGGAACTTCAGCTTTCACTAATGGCAGGGCTGTCAACCCCCCACATCCTCAAATATTAAGAATTGATAGGGAAGGGATGATAGATGATGTCATCGCATGGCACATGACGTCATTTGTGCAAAAAAAACGCGAATAAGGCGTTGTTGGGATTATAACATTTGACCTGATTGGTTTATTTCCCACCAATCATATTTTTCTTATATTACAATGGCATACCGGAGTTTGTGAGGAAACTGTCATTCGACATCAATAGTAAAACAACTCAAACAACACAAAATATTTGAAATTTCATTGTCAGAAAGTCGAATCTTCAAGAAATGAAAAACTTTGGTGATTAGCCGGTAGATTTCAGACTCTAATCTGGAGACCGGAGAAATGGTTCAAAATGTGGAGTCTCCTGGATTATTTGGGAGAGTTGACAGCACTGTAATTGTTATGTTTGCAATGACCTTAAAGATGGATGGCAAATTTAGCCAAAATAATGAGCTGATTAGTATCAGAAGAGGTAAGATTTTCGCTCAGCCCCATACGTTCATCATGCATTTATTTTTTGACCCTATTCACATGTGAATTCATATGTGAAATAGTGCGTGTGAGATTGCTGCATGCAGAAGAGACATATGGATTTGTACGGAAATCTTATTGTGAAAGATTCTCGCCTTATTTTTAAAGTCAGAAGCCACGATCTTGCTTTCTTGCTGGATTTGCTATTCGTGACCCAGTCCATCATGGTGAAAAATACTGCAGTGCACTACTCCACTGATGGTAAATGGTATGTGATAGTCCAGGGTCTGAAAATGCAACCAGCTAATTGTCAATGCGACTGACAATTTAGTGTTGCTACCAGAATATCAAGGCTAATCGCCAGTAGGCGACTAACTTTCTGTAACTTGTCAACTTGTTTTGAATGGTGCTCAAGGAATTTCGTTATAACTAAAAAAATTTTGTTTCGATTTCCAGAAGATACTTACCCCATGTCTTGCCAAAGTTTTTCATCTCCATAGAAAATAATTTAGATGAACAACACCACAGATAAAAATTAATGTCATACACCGCTGTACATACCATAGCTAAAATCTAAAAAGCATTGACTTTTTATGGCTGAACAAAATCAAAATGTAAAATTCTCTCTTTTTTTATGTAGTAATAAAGGTTGTTGTTGTTGTTATTAAAGGACAAATTTCAGGCCACTGCGAACAAGGGGTAACAAGGGGTAACAGGGGGTAACAAGGAAGAACAAGGGGTAACAACCAGGAACAAGGGGTAACAAAGGGGAAACAAGGAGTAACAGGGGTAGCAAGGGGGAACAAGGGGTAACAAGGGGAACATGGTTAACAAGGGGTAACAAGGGGTAACAAGGAGGAACAAGAGGGAACAAGGGGTAGCAAGGGGTAACAGGGGTAACAAGGGGGAACAAGGGGAACACGGGTAACAAGGGGGAACAAGGGTTAACAAGGCTCACCCCTTTGTTTCCCCTTTGTTATCTCTTGTTCCCCCCTGTTACCCCTTGTTACCCCTTGTTCCCCCGGTTACCCCTTGTTACCCCTTGTCCCCATTTTTATCCCTGTTTCCCCTTGTTTCCCCTTGTTAACCATGTTCCCCTTGTTACCATTGTCTCTCCTTGTTACCCCTGTTCCCCTTGTTACCCATGTTCCCTTTGTTACCCCTGTTACCCCTTGTTCCCCCTTTTTCCCCCTTGTTACCCCTTTTTCCTCCTTGTTACCCCTTGTTCCCCCTTGTTACCCCTGTTGCCTCTTGTTACCCCTTGTTACCCCTTGTTCCCCCTTGTTACCCCTGTTGCCCCTTGTTACCCCTTGTTACCCCTTGTTACAAGGGGTAACAAAGGGTAACAGCGGTAACAATGGGGAACAAGGGGGAACCAGGGTAACAAGGGGAACAAAGGCTAACAAGGGGGAACAAGAAATGATGGGGAAGATCTCTCCAGAGGTCAACATGAGTGGATTGGATTGACTGTTTTTCAATATTCGTACTTGTGTGTCGTTTATAAAAATTCTTTTTAAGGCACATTGATGGTGCATTATGATATTATTATTTATTATATGGAGGAGAGTGTTTTACTGGGAACTAAACCACTCGTAGATTCCATACGCCACTTCATCCGGGACCCGAGTGGCGTATTTTTCGTATGTCACCTTTGTGAGTGCCGTATCGTTCAATGACGTCACGATTCCCGCCTTCTCCTTTTGTTGAATTGGTTTCTCCATATAATAAAAAGAACATTACACGTTGGCTCGAAGATATGAATTTTATGTTCTCGTGGCAAGAACAGTATCTCACTCGTTCGTGGATATTGTTCTTGCCACTCGAACATAAAATTCATATCTTCTCGCCACCGTGTAATATCCTCTATGTACTTGATCAGCATACTGAAAATTATTCTGAAAACTGCTTACCAACTTCTTTTTGTGCCACTGGAAAGCAACTTTAAGGGCCTGTAGTTAGTGGACAGATTTCACTGACATTATGTTGAGTAGATTCATGAGAGGAAGAGCTCTGTCGGTGTTCTTCCCATGAGTTATGGCGAAGAACATTATTCTACTGTATTTTGTTTTACTTGGACTTTGTTGATCTGTGATTGATAGGCGCTATCCCGTGTTTATATGGCATACAAAATAAGTGGAAATATGAGGTTATAATATGGCTGTTTGAGGTGGGATAGGTAGATAAGGTACAGTAAATCATAGCCCATGTACATCCCTTGAATTCACCTTACAGTACATGTATGTGACCTAATATTGAGATGTCTGACACAAAAGACCAAGATTTTATAAGTGATGGAATGTCTGCAAAATATTACTAATTTGACATAATTAAATGACATTGAGTCAGGCACCAAATAATATTGAAAAACTAAAATGTAAATCCTGAAATACTTGCCAAACAACAGGCCCATGCAGCTCATGCCAATGGGATACAGCTCTAGCAATTCCAGGGATTGATAAAGCCTAAACCAAAGAGTGTGTCTCTCAAGTTTTAGGTTTTAAACTCCCAGCCGTGCGATTTTGTGGTGGTTTGAATAAGAGAGGAAATACTAAAGAAATTCAGTTGAATACGAACCCTTGAAAAAACTTCCCATAATAATTGACAATCATATCACTACTTGCTAACTAGTTTAGTGTCATCTAGGTCGACATAATTTATGTTGGACATGTTATTACAGGGCCAGTACGATGATGTAAGGTGTAAGTGTGTTTGCCCCAAGGAAAATAACAAAACAACCAGGATACCTAATGTTTTTGTTCAAACTGTTGAAGCCAAGGACTGGTAAGTTATTAAGTTGACTTGCACACCAACTTCTTTTTGTATGGATTGTATGATGTTGTGGTCCAATAGACCTCCTAGCCTAGGATAGGTTCTTTTTTTAATGTAGGTCATTTGATGTTCTCAAAGGAAATTTTTCCTTTGTCTTTTCGTAAATGATGTGTACATAATTTTTATTGTGCATGTTTCATAAGACAAAATTTGAAAAAGTAAATTCACATGACCTACACTGAAATAAAGAAAAAAAGGCATACAAGCTGAAGAGTCTATTTTTTCTCTTTGGTTCAAATTTTATTATTTTTTTCCTTTTGGGTGTGGATAAAATAATTGCACATGAGTTTGAAACAATGGAAAGTGAATCACCCACTCTAAGGCCCTGTTTATTGAAAAAAGCTGTGACAGTCCCCGGTACAGAAGCCACCCTCCCAGCCGAGTGAACTTTAGTGAGCGTTTATATGAGAAAAAAGTTGACCCCTTTGCCTGAAGCAACAGTGCTCGCACATATCTCTTTGTCTGAAACAGTGCCTGTGCATGCTCTGGTTACTTTACGTTGAATGAGCTGACCGGGCTGCACAAGCCAAGTTCTATATTGAGAAAAGTTAGCCTGGCCAGGAGGGGTTACCTTTCCAACACAGAAGCCAATTTTTTTCTCATGTTAATAGTTCACCATGTTTTGCATGGCTGAGGTTAGGAAATGTATGAAAAGTTGGCTTGCCCAGGGTAGTGACCTTTCTTCTTGTTTGTTTGTTTGTGTTTGGATCATAACTATTGCGACAAGTACATGTAGGTACCTAATCACTTTTGTGATGAAATGTTAACTCATATTCTGTTCTTCTAATAGCAACTGTGAACATATTGTGCAGAGAGAGGAACAATTTTGCTTAAGATGTCAGTGCATGTATGAAGCCAGGAACACAACTCTCATCAAGGTCTGTATGTCTTTGAATGAATATCAGAATGAGTCAATGCACGTGGATTGGTTCTTAGTTTTGTTCCTACCAAAGGTGACATATTGAAGGTGTGTTTGGTGTTTGAGTGTTTGATTGATTAGATTTCAGTGTAAGAAGTAAATAATAAATAAATGAATAAATAAATTACACTTAAATTGTTTACATAGCGCCATTTCCAGTGATTCCCAATGGTGCTTTACAAGAAGTGTTTAAAATATTACAAAATTAATATTGTTCATAAATTACATTAAATTGAAAAAAATTAAAAAAAGCAAAACTAATTGACCAAAAAAAAAAAAAAAAAAACGATGTCACTTAAAACGACTAAAATATAAAAGGACTAATTTCATAAAAACGCTTTCCTAAAAAGATAGAAGGCACTGGTAGGTTGTTATGGTTCTCCTCCATCTAGTTTTTTGTGTCATCTAAAGGCTCTCTCTCTGGCTCAGAGGGAGGTGGAAGGCTTAAGTCGTTGGGGTACTTCCCTATCACTCAATGTTGGTGTACAACATTTGGCAAGTTAACTGCGATAAACAATATTGGGAGGTAGAGGAGACAGGTGAGAAGGAAAAAATATAGGGGTTTGGTGGAAGTGTCCCAACTGCTTTTGTCTGGGACTGTAGACTGCTCTTGGACCTGTCTGTGTTGTAGTGTTTAGGCTTTTTGTTGAGCATCTCATGGGCATAAGCTTTTTTTTCTTGAGAGTTTGTGTTCTTTCTGTATGATGTCCCACCTTTTCTTCCCTATGTCTTTCCACTGTTTTATCAGGGTGATGGGTGCCTGCTCTCTCTCCTTCATGCATGGGGGTGCATAGAGGGCCGTGTAGACTGTTCACAGTCCCCTGTTTGACACTCATCGCCAGGCTAGACTCATAACATTTGAAACCAAGATTGCAGCCTGCAACGCAAAGTGCTCTATCTTGACAATCTTGCGAAAAATACGGGACTGTGAACAGTCTAAGGGCTGTGAGGAAAATCTCCTGGATCTCGAGGGCACCCAAACATCCATCACGGGAGGCATATGTTAACAGGAACAAAAGAATGGTTAAAGATACTGTATGTAAAATACTTTTTAGCTTAGTACTCCTGTCCTTGTTATTTATCAGTTTCTCATTGTATGAAATATCTTGTACATACACAGGTGGTGATTATCTTTATCCTTGTTGCGCTTGGAATTTTGTGTATCTACCTCTTATATCTGTTTATTGACTCTAAACGGAGGCCAGTGGAATTAAGTGTGACAGCAGATGAGGTGACTCGCATTTTAATATTATTATTATGTACATTTTGCATTTATAGTGCAATTTAATGCACTTTTTAAATGCAGACAATGTAATAAAGAACACCTTTGAAACATAAATTTGTTCTTGAGCTTTTAGTAGCGTTAAATCAGTAGAGGACGCTTATTGGTTATGCAGTATATACCTACATGTCTGATGATGATGTAGCAAGTGTGACAATGAGGATTGTATATTTTTGGATTGAGAGTGAGTTAGAGTCATCTTTGAGTCAGTGTGACTTTCATTGTTCAATTACAGTAGCAGAAAATTGTTTGGAATTTTGTCCAAAGACCTCATTTACCATACTCGCCATCTTTGCATGCACTTAATAAGATTGGCAAATTTTTTAACCCCCCCAGGTGTGCGATGTTATGAAGATGAGGTGATTTTTTTTGTTTTATGAGGGGGTTGAGTATTCTTTTTATGGTTGGGTTTTTTTTATTTTTATAAACAAACTAGAAAAATTTGTTTTGTTTTTTTTCAAAACCCCCTTTTCCCCACTCCCCCCCTCTTGCTCCCCCCTAAAAAAATTGGCAAATTTTTTTCCCCCCCCCCCCCCCCCTCCTTCGAGAAACCACGTGACACTGCTTTTATCCCATCAGTCCTTAAGTGCATGAAAAGATGGTGGGTGTTGTGAATAAGGTCTCTTTTTAATATTTTTTGATATTTTGCACTAGGTACAAGAAAGACTACGAGCAACCCGGCTTAGAGGGGGGAGCATACGAAAGTTTGATGAAAAGATGGCAAAATGGAAGAAAACTGTAGCAGAGCAAAGGAGAAATATATATGATACAAGAACTATGCTGAGTTAGATAAACCGCCACGCAGGACACACCTACCCCAAGCTCCAAATATCAGGTCGCTTTTTACCAGCTTTCCTCCATTCCTAGGGGCATAGCTAGGGGGAACCTTGGTGCCTGGCCATCCCCCCCATGCTGTGAGATAATGGTTTTACGTCCCTTTAATTCAGTTGGTGAAAACACAGGAATCGGTAGAATCAACATGCAATAAATCCTTTCCTGGGCTAGATAGTTACATACTCCATTTGCAGGACCGAACATCTGCAGTGGATCATGTTTTTTTGTAGGCTTGTCCCTCCCCCACCCTCCAAACGCTTGGTGCTCACCCACCACTTTTAGTAAAACACAGCATAGATGTCGACAAGCCAATCTGGTAAGTACCCTGGGTGTGACACTGTGTGATGCCCCCCCCCCCTTCCCCTTCTGAAAATCCTAGCTATGCCCCTGTTTCCCTCTGCACTGACGTCATAACTAGTTAAGCGTCACAACACCTCTCTCCTCCGCAGCTGGAGGCCTCTTTGTGTCGTAGGGAGGCTGGGGAGAGGGAAAAGAGAAAGTGTGCGGGGGACCATGGGAAGGGCAAGCGAGGCTCGCGCCTCTTCCCATCTCCCATTGTCCCATGCGCAACTTCTATTTTTCGGTTATTGCTATATTTATTGGGATACCCAGCAGAAGTTCTTGCTGAAGAGAGAGTCACAACACGGTTCTGTTCATCGCTAATTATGAGGCTCCACTAGAAATTGAAAATTGGGGAGAAAATTTAACGTAGAATTAATTTGTGTCTGTATCAACCTCGTCCCCAGTGCTTTTCCCTAAAAAAAATGGAAGGGGCGCCCGCCCCTCTCATTTTTTTCAGGGAAAAGCCCTGGGGACAAGGTTGGTATCTGTATAACTGTTGTGTATGGTGTTTCAGGGCGATCTCAGCCAGGGTTCTTTGTTTTCATTGTTTTCTCGGTTAATAGAATACAAAGTGAAAAGACAAAAAAATCCAAGATTTTGTCTCGTATGTAGCAACTTACAAATGTATTGTACAGTAAAGAACATGAACAACAAATGAGTGTATATAATTGCAAAATTTGCAATAGTGACTTTCCAAGGACAAAAAAATTTAAGCTGTAAACGTACTTCGTATTTGTTATAAAAACGACTCAATTGTCGTTAGATATTAATGCAGGACAAATTTAGGCTTTGAGGCATATTACGCCTAAATTTTTTGTTTAATCAAATGCAGATTGCTGCAAATGTAGCCATCAACAATTTAGTAGAGACCTTAATTAAGATACACCTCCTCTTACCCCGATAAATGGCTAGGCTACTGTAGCTGGTACTGGTCAGACTGATGATGCCGTGGGTGCATTTCCACATCTAGCCAGTTACGATCGCCTTTTTAGTTATATATAATTACATGGCAAACGTGTTGGCGAGTTCCCATACCAGAAGGGAGAAACGGTAGATCCGAGTCAAGTAACCCCATTTAATTTCGTAGTATTTTTTGAGAAAGCAATTCTGTAAAAAAAAAGTAATAAAAAATAAAAATGATGATAATAATAACAACAACAATAAAGAAATAAACAGATCTTTTTTCAATAACAGCTGCCTTCTCTATAACTGAATACATATTTTCCCAAATTGTTTTAGTATCAAGAGTGTTTTTTAAACTTATCAATCGCAATGCGTCATGGGCTACTGCCGGCTCTTGCTCTCTTTTTGCAACCCTGGCTCTTCTTGTTTTCCAATACAGCGGCGACAGGAATCAGCGGGGGGGGGATTATTTTAAAACCAATCAAATGAAGGATTATGGTTTCCTGTCGATATAATGCAAGCATGAAACCTCACCCCCGGGCCAGCTTCCGTTCGCTCGGATATTTCCTTATTCTATTTAGCTTTTGCGGAGCGCGCGAGCGAACACGCGAAGGAAAGAGGAGGCGCGCGCGTGTTCTCGAAATTTCTGCCTTCGCCCTAAAAAAACGGCGCCTGCTCCCTGTCAGCAGAGTCCCTTCCATTCTTCCTGAGGAATGATTCGCGACAGAGGTCGCCCTCCTCTTCCTCGACTTTATATCAACAAAAGCTCAAAGCGACTCTGCTAACATGATTGATCGCCAAAGACGGAGATCAGCTAGCTTACGAACAAAGACGCATTTCCGGTCGTCGCGTCTCTCTACTTAGAGAGGCTAGAGATCAGCTAACAAATGGAAGGCGTTTTTCTCCCCGTCCCTTTCCCTTCAGTAGTGAACGGTAGTGGGGTCTGATTATTTTCACAAGGGCAAGGGCTGTTAATAAGTTAATTTACAACCAGTTCGCGCTGGGGATTTTCTAACCAAAAATGCGCCCCCGTTAGCGAGAATGCGGTATTACGTCAAAATATTGAAATAAAGCGGCCATTTTGAAGCTTCGAAGGGACGCCGTGAACCGGCATTGCTGTACAGGTAAGTTGTTTTTCGGTGCTTCACTTCGTTTATAAATAGCCTCTAAATAGCAGCTAAAACGGCCATTGCTGGTACTTCCTCAACCGTTTTCTGCGCTGCCCCGCTACAGTACACTCTGACTCGTTCGCGTCGCTGGTCTGCTGGTTTCGTGAGGTTTCTGTACTACTGCACACAGTTGCACACAGATGATAACAAGCCACCTTCAGCATGTTTTGAGCTATTTGCTTACCTTCCCGATGGGATGGTATTACAACTCTAGCGACGTGCATTTTGATCCAAGCCAAATTAAAATTTTGCATGTTTAGCAGTCGCGGGCCGGCGATGACCGTGGAAACGTCACATGACTACATGCAACTTCGTCGCTATCGGTGCATTGCTCAGTTTTGTCAATTTGTAGGTGAATTCTCTGGGCTTAAATTCTCGAACGCAGCCAAATTTATAAAGGGAAAGGAGAATGTAGCATCATGTGTGTTTACGTCCAACATAAAACGTGGACGGTAATTATATCGGATAAATAAGTATAGCGCCATTTCTATTGCTGTCTAATGGTTAATTTTCTTGTCGTGTTCTGCACGATTACGACGAACAATTTTTATTGTTCGTTGTAATCGTGCAGAACACGACAAGAAAATTAACCAAAAAGTTTATCGCCTGTGCAGAGTTGTTGTTTTGTCTATAAAACCTATTGCTTCTTACATGTTCTGGTTGCCGTGAATAGGGCCTTGTAAGATCCGACTACGGCGATGACAAGGAGAACGTCAAAAATGGAAGAAATAATACCGTAAGTCGTCTATAAAGCCCCCTCTCAAATAAGCCCCCTTTCTCTTACTAGTAATAGTTGACACTACAGCTGCCCCAGCTCTGCATATTGCTCGTTGTGTAGCTCTTTGAAATATACCGATTCATAAGGAAGATTTTCATACATATTCCATACAATAGGTGAGATAAATACAGGAAACGCAAGGTTCCATGCACAGTTTCAGGTCGATTTACACAGCTTTGATCGAAACATTCTCAGTTTCGAGAATAGTTTATTCCAAACTATAAGAAAATATTTAAGTAGAAGTTGAATTTTTCGCTATTTCTCTTTCACTTTTCACATTCAGTTCATTTTATTTGCCGGAAAAGAAGCCTTAGAAATTAAAAGGAAGTTTGATCAGTTCACACTCGCGCATTCTAGTCTTATTTTAAACTTTACAGCGGAAGGGCATCTGTGAGCAGGTAATAAGTCAGCACAGAATTTCAGGGATTGTCGGCGAATTTCTGTAATCGTTCATTGTTCTGCTTGTGATAAGCTAGCCTTTGTTCACTCGTCTTGCTTGTTTGGGGCTGAGTCTTATTCCGGTCAAAGTGAGAGAAAGAGTGTCTGGCAAGGTTTCCAATGAAAGATTTGTGAACTCGTGTCTGGCAAACTCTCCAAGTGTTTATATATACACAGTTATACGCACCTTATAACTTCTTCTGCGCTTTACGAGTGACGTTAAAATTTTGGTCCGTAACTTTCACTGAAACAACTGCTCCACAGAATGTCACTGATAACAAGTAACGCAAAAGAGTGTCGAAGTATGACTGCACAATAAATGTCACAAAATCTACCTAAGCGGTCCCTTGGAGATGTTCTTCACGTCATCCTAACCATTTCGTACTTACGGGTGCAAACAATAGAAACGTCATCTTTACCTACCGATTCCTCGCGGCCCCTGTTCAAGCAAATCGAGATTTTTTCTATATTGACTGTACGACTGTATATTTCAACTGTAAGGACTTTCCTTAATACATGTATACGCGCGAGTTACTAGAGTGCCTCCTCGGGATTTCGCCTTCTGGGCGAAATCCCTACGGGGGCAATAAGCTCCCCCCTCCCCTCCCCTCCCCTAATTATTTTTCACTAACAAATGATGGACTGTATAAATCAATCACAACTGTAAAACTTCGTGTGGACTGATCCAGGATGGTTTATTCACCAACTGGAAGTTTGGATTTGTTTTTGATCCTCGGCTGCATGACGTCCAACTTCTTGTACTTGAGCTTTTCCACTTTATATTCTAGTTCTTTATGGAGGACTGATACCACCGTCTTTTCTAAATGAAATAAACTGTAAAAGGCTTTCGACGATTATTACCTTTTTGATAAAACCTTCGCATCATTGTACGCTTGGCATTAGCGATTAAGGACATTGATATTTTGCGACTACGCATACGCAGACGTCAACATCATCCGCGTTTAAAAAAAGAATAAATTGTCGCACGCAAGGACGACTACCGTTTGCACGGGCCCACAAAATTGGTTCCAATGACTTTTTGAGGCAAGATACCACTGATGAATTGTTTTTGAATTTATTAAACGTGAAACATTCACAACAGCGCTGGAAGGCAATTATTTTGTCCAACTTTTAAACCAGTATTGCGTAGGATTTGGCGCCAAGATGAGCACAGCTCGAAAAATGTTTTTAATGTTTGGTACCGATTTCACTTTCTCGTGACTGGTTTAGCCGCTTTGGTTTTTTATTAACCCATAGAAGATAGAACTCACCTCGGGAACTGTCATGGGAAATGTTTGTTTTACCTATCCATCAGGGAAATTTCCTCTTGGCAAGTTTACTTTGGGGAATCGGTTTACACACAAAAAGTTGCATCCCAGTGGGCAACAGCTATTTGTCCATTGGTAAAACGGCTAGTGTAGCCGCACCTCATTTATGAGGGACGTAAACAAGCCACAACGAAATTTTCGTTCTCTCCTTGAACTTGGATATGGTCAGTTCTTAGAAATTCAATTCAAGGAGAGGACGCGTACATGACAAAATAAGTGAATTAGAATAATCATGATGAAGAATGAAAGAACGCGAATTCGCTTGTTAAGCGACGTTTTCGCCGCCCGCCGCCGTCCTTCCCATCCTCGGATCTTGAGGTCCCTAATGACTGAAGAACGGCAGGGACCAACTCTAGATGCGACACTTAAGTGTTCGTGAGAGAGCTGCCCTCTTCACTGGCTTTCCTAAGGCTTAGTTGGCAGCACGGACTTTTAAAGCGGAGTGCTGGAGACAAGGAAGCGCGAGTGGGCGATGGTAGGAACGAGCGCAGAGCGCTCGCGGGGAGAGATCACTTTTTCCTTAATAATTTACTCAAATATCCCCCAGAAAAGCGATCGCGAACGACTGGGAACGAAGCAGGTCAGAGGGAGGTAACAGCACCCTATGTTTTTGATGCCTTCCTGTTAGCATTTCTGTTGCGTCACTCACTTGTGATGATCGTTTTCTTGCTATTCGCCCCTATTAAGACCGTTGTCACACTTAATATAGATTACTGACACGGATTATCAGACGGAAAATCCTTCTTAGATGGATAATCCCTCTCCAATGTGGAAACGGCTATAAGCAGCTCTTCCAACTATCTAAACGCCAGGAACGCTAATCCTGCGTTGCAATTGTAAACGGGGAGGGATGGAAGTTAAAAGCTGAGAGTTGTAGAGTTGAAGGATCGCCTGTTGTACGAGTCGGTCTTTTCCCATTTACCTTTTACTTTGCACTTCAAATACCTTCATTACCTGGGCAAAGAAATCCGCTCATCTATTTATCTGCTGTCCGCTTCTTTTTAGCTGTCCAGAGTTGCCAAACTCTATATGGACTGCAAAACAGTCGTCCGATGTTTTCTCAAATCGGTTTAGCGTAGCGTAAGAGTCTCACGCGCGCAAAGCGCGCGAGCCTCGTAAGGCGTGTGCGGCGAAATGTGAGGCGTCTCTTCCCAGTCTTGCTCTCCGTTTAGAGCCTCGCTCCAGTCCTTTAGTTTGACTGTTCGCGCGTTCTTGAATATTCCAAAATACGGACTGTTTTGCAGTCTAAACTCTATGCAACTAGGCGGGAAGAATTTCGGGGGGATGGGGGGGAGGGCAAATGCCCTTTCTGCCCTCCCCCTATCCCCACCGACAGCGCCATCTAATCTGCAAAACGGGCGTTTATTTCGAGAGCAAAGCGGGAAATTTAGTCATGCTTGGGATACCGTCTCAGGACCCGCGCAGGTGGAAGGGCTGTGGGGGCCAGGGCCTCCCCCGGCACTTTTTGAAAAATAAATAAAATTAAGTACAGTGG